TCTCTCTCTCTCTCTCTCTCTCTCTCTCTCTCTCTCTCTCTCTCTCTCTCTCTCTCTCTCTCTCTGTGTGTGTGTGTGTGTGTGTGTGTGTGGCTAAGCTACTTGCGCCGAAGGGCATGGACTATTCTGCACAAGTACCTCTCAACCTCACTCGATGCTTGGTAGCAGAAGACGACGGCGCTCAAATGGAAATTGTGGTGACGCCGTGCTGCCGCTGGAGTTTTGTACTTCGCTGCAGTTCCGAATCTTGGACTTTTCCAGTACCGGTACTTTCCTTTGCCGGCTGCTTCCGCTAGGTTCTCTAACTTTTGTGGGACTGACCTGCCATCCTTTTGAATGGGACATAACTTGCGTTTTAGAGAAATGTACTGCACCAAACCTTTTCCCATAAAGGACCTGGTTCCATCCAGTTGGCCTAAGAGTGTTCATGGATATATTGTGAAAATTGGACTGGATACTAGTTGATAGTCCTTCACTGATATTTCTCTCTTCTTCCATGGGTCCTTTTCGCTGTGGGGAGTTGCATCTGTAGCTCTGTTTAGTGAATGCTACCATGTTCCACTGAATAGAGTAGAACATTGCGTCAAGCGTAACTGCACTTAGCTGAAAAACTGCAGTGAGTACAGACAGGCATGACGGTCCCATGTTGACTTCGGGGAATGCTGTAGTATGGGCGTACTCACACTAGCACTTTTTTACTGAGTCCTCCTGGACGGAATTGCGGCCAGATGCGGCCAGATGCGGCCAGATGCGGCCAGATGCGTAGAGGTCCCTTGCCATAAATGCGGTCAGATACATTTAAGGTAGTGCTAGTGTGCGTACGCCCTTAGAGCAGTATTCGTGCTCTATATCGCCGGTTCCTGTGGCCTCATGTTCAGATTCGGTGGTGACGTAATGTGTTTTTTATCATTTTCTTGGTCTTGTCTTGTCTAATCAGCCTTCCTTCCAGCACCAGGGCATCCATACAGCATTGCTACGGATGTCAATATAGCACCTACCGTCTTCACCCGAATAGAACACCTGGTAATTGTCGTCATATCTGGGCTGAAAGTTGTGCCAAATACAGTGATAATGACCTGGCGTTCTATTCGGGTGAAGACGGTAGTCCTTCCAGCACCAGGGCATCCATACAGCATTGCTACGGGTGTGAACATAGCAGGGCGCAATGCCGGCCACAGCAGGGCGGGTTCGCATGCCCCCAAACAACCGCATGCAGCAGCGCCGGTGCTGACGTAATGTTTTTTATCATTTTCTTGGTCTGGTCTTGTCTGATCAGGCTTCCTTCCAGCACGAGGGCATCCATACAGCATTGCGACGGGTGTGAACAAAGCAGGGCACAATGCCGGCCACAGCAGGGCGGGTTCGCATGCCCCCAAACAACCGCATGCACAGCAGCGCTGCGCTGCAGACGCACGGAATATGGTCAAATACAATCGGATATGACCCCTACGCTCCGGAGAACAAGGATGTCCCAAAACCAGAAGGGGGGACAGACATTGGGAATGCCTATGACAATTATCAAGGCCTCCTGGCGCTTGCGCGTTTGACGGGTTCTAATGCTGATGAACAACGAGGGTCCTGTAAGAAATGTGGCCGAGTCGGACACCTGACTTTTCAGTGCAAAAACTTCCTGAGCTCAAAGGAATCAATTGCCTTGGAAGGAGGGTCAGCCCCAAATGCTGCTCAGACGGACGAGCGTAGCGATCTGGACACCTCTGACGAGGATGATGACCTAGATGACGATAGCAGCGAGGACTCGGAGATGGAGAGGGCCATCCGTGAGATGAAAACTGGCCCGCGAATGGATGGGCTCAGGAGCAGAGGCAGGAAGGAGGATGGGTCCCTCCATAAGGAAGGAAAGAAGCGACCTTCACGACCGACATCACCTAGTCGGCAGCCAAGGAGCTCGGGTTCGCGGGGGAA